AATGTTATATTGAAATAATAGTCTAACAGTTTGTATAGAATTTTATTGTTATTGTCATGCTAAAGGTGATAGGTAGTAAATTTGAATTGCTATAAAAATGTTCAAACTAAGCTTTCATACAATTTTTCTTTCGAAAGGTCTTCTATATTCATAAGAAACAGACATCATTTGAATTAAAACATCGTATATTGAGTAAAATATGTGTGAAATTTCAATACGTTTTTAGGAAGTTTCCATGGGAGATAATCAATTTTTCTTTCGAAAAGTCTTCTATATTTACTGTGCTTATTCAGTGGGCTTTGGTGTATCGTAATAGCAATGGCTAAAACAGTTTACCAAATTGCAGTTTGAATTTTTCTCCCACAAACTGATCAACTGGTATAATATTTTAACAAATTGCTTCATTGAAAGGTTGTTAGTATGAAGTGAGTGCAGTGAAAAAAAAAGTAATAATTACCATCCAGCTCCAGTTAGTTGATGCCTATGTCATGAATTTCAAACAAAATAATGACTTACTATATTATGAGTCACTGGTTTTTATTGAAATCTGTACACTTGTTAGTTTGAAAACATCAAGTACCAGTACCTTATCCCGGCCTCATTAACATTAGTAAATAACATATTTATACAGCTGTTAGTATACATACAATTTACTTAAAAAATTATATATCATGTCAGTAATATCAGAAAAGAATCTTACCATTAATATAAGATTATCAAACATATAATTATCTTAAATAACAAAAAACAATTTTTTGGGTTTTTTTGGGGGGGTCAATTTTTTTTTCCCTCAAGATTTAAGAAATTGTCAATTTTCCAAAGAAAAAAATTGGGGGTCACAATTTATTTTGCTAATTCTTTGTATATAGTCTGAAAACAGATTTACTAAGTATTGCACAACAGCACAGTGTATTGCACAACCAATTGAATATAAATTCAAATCATACATTTGGATTCCGGACAATTACTTTAGTTTAAGTGTATGGATCTCTATGAAATTTAACCAAAAGGTTTAATACCACAAAAAGAAGGTTGGGTTGTTTTTGGGGGTGATGGTCCCAACCGTTTAGGAATTAGGGGCCAAAAGGGGACCAAAACAAGCATTTTTCTAGTTTCAGGACAATAACTTGTGTATAAGTATTTTGATTGCTCTGAATTTGTACCACAAGGTTTAATACCACAAGCAGAAGGTCGGGATTCATTTTGGGGGTAATTGCCCAAACCGTTCAGGAATTAGGGACCAAAAAGGGTCTTAAACAAGCATTTTTCTAGTTTTCAGACAATAACTTGTGTTTAAGTGTATGGATGTCTCTTAATTTGTACCACATTTTACAAAATGAAAATTTCTTCAAAATTGATTTTTTTGGAAAAGGGGGGGGGGGGGGGGGGGGTGGTAAAAAAAAATTTTGGGGGGGGTCAATTTTTTTTCCTCAAGATTTCAGAAAGAAAAAAATTGGGGGTCTTTGACTACATTTATTCTGTGTCAGAAACCTATAATGTGTCAAATATTTAATTACAATCAAAATTCAGACCTGAATCAAGCTTGAATATAATGTCAATTTTTGCCCCAACTGTTCAGGGTTGGACCTCTGCGGTCGTATCCAGCTGCGCTCGACGAAGCAGTTTAATTTTTTAAAACTCAAGGGGAACTAAAGATATGTATTCACTATTAATTAGAAATAATATAGTTTCAACGGGTCAGAAAAAATGGAATCAAATTTTAAATTCAGATGAAAATGAATGGAGATTAATTTTCAAATTACCTTTTATAGTCACAAAAAATACCACCAAACTGCAGTGGTTACAATATAGAATAAATCAGCATACTTTAGGTACTTATAATTTTTTTCACTGACAATCCAAATTGTACTTTTTGCCAAGAAGAAGCAGAAACTATTGAACATCTATTTTGGAATTGTGAGATTGTTCAAATATTCATTGATGAAATTGAACCTTGGTTTTTGTCTAATGTTATAAGTGTTCCATTTACCATAAAACATTTTCTGTTTGGGGATATTACAAAATCATTTAGGGGAAATGCTGCAAATTTGATTTATTTGCAAATAAAACAATATATTTTCAACTTCAAATATTTTAAGAAAGCTTTAACATTACAGGCAGTGCAAAGTAAAATAAAGTCTTTATACAGCACTGAAAAATTAATTGCTGCCAAATGGCATTTTTAAAAAGAGGAGTCCATGTACTCGTTTTCAAGCTAATGGTTAAAATCAGTAAAAAATGCATCTTTTTCCTTTATGTCACAATTCAAAGTCGCGAAAATAACATTTTACGTTAGAAACGTCATTATCTCCCCCTGTAGCTGTATCGTATAATTGTCGTTTGCTGACAGGATTCACCTGACCTTGATCTCATTTCCATGGTTCAATGGACGAATGCTAGTTTACCGCTTTAATATGTCAGATTCCAGTGGCGTAGCTTGCCTACTGTTTTTACGGAGCAGGGGGTCGGGGGGGGGGGGGGGGGAGCCCCCTTAAGCTATCGAGGTTTTTACAATTTGAACAAGAAGAAAAATAATAATTGTTGTTTAATTTTATTTCATCATAATAATGTTAATATGCCTTACACTAAGTTATACTACCGATTTATTAGTTGATTTCTGGTACCTGTATCATTTTCAATGTTCAGATGAATACATAAATTAAAAGCATTTACCACTTTTTCAAATCAATCCTTTCAGTGAACTTCCCAGATTTAAAATTATTTACGGATACAGGAGATTGATCTGTCAAGTTCAAAATTGTCCTGAGTCTATAGAAAGTTGTGTATGATTTAAACCGATACTATCTAATCTACGGTCAACTCAAAGTTACAAAAACAACAAAACACGTGAAGATATCACATAAGCCAACCACTGACAAGTCAGTTTCCCGACTTGCTAGCAGTAACTGAAAGCCAGCGCAAAAGCCTAATCTCCCAATATATTACCAAGCCGTCGTACATTCTAATATAGGTGGCTGTATCTCACTGTGACATATGATTTAACGTCATATCAAAAGAAATCACGACCGTGTTCGATGGACAGAAGAAACCTGTACAGAATTTTCAATACAGAAAAACAAACGCAACGATTAAGGTTTATTTGAAATAATTTTTGTGATGATCATTTACTCGCTTGGTCGTGGGTCACGAATCAACGAATTATAGATAATCATCCCAAAACGACGGATGGATTGAACAGCAGAAATTCTTGATAAACTAGGAGATAAACACATGCTACATGTAAAGTGCACCACGGCACTTGTATTGGTTGTGTTTCGTCCTGGTATTGATCGGAAGGTCTTCAAATTATTTGAACTTTTTGACATACTAATTTACTGATTTCTGTTCACTAATGGAATTAATTTAAAAACTTACCTTTAATTTTTTTAATTTGTATATGCCTTCACTGGGACTCGAACCCTTCCTTGAAATCTGTTATGAATGACTGACATCAACACATTGACGAAACCTCTCGGCTACCAATGGGTTACAACTTAGATGTCTATTTTATATATATAAATGAACATCGGACACACAGGGGTTGTACCTTTATATATACACAATGGGCAGTCGTATAGTATAAGTTGGTAGCCGCGAGGTTAGCATGCTTAAAATCAACGAGTTAAAAGATAGGGATGTGTCGGTTTATGTTCGAATCCCTGTATTATCTCTGTTGTCCCAATTCTGTTTTTTTTTCTAATTTTGCATGTTATAGTGGATATTTTTGTAATAACAGCGAGTTTTACCGTTTATTTTTTGGATTATTATTGGCTATTTCACATGTTTGAAACAAAAATGATTGCATTCTATTTGTCAATTTTTGTTGTATAAATATAGTATGATTTCATCTGTTTTACTACATAATGTTACAAATTTTTGTTCGCAAATTCCTATGGGAGAAAATCGTGATGTGGCTAGAGTGCTAGAAATTTCGGTAACATACTTATTATATATACTTTATATATGCTCTTTGGTCGGGTTGTTGTCTCTTTGACACATTCCCCATTTCCATTCTCAATTTTATTAGAAATAAGTTCGAATATGTCTTATTTTGTAAAAGCAGATAAAATTCAGATGCCTGATAATATAAAGATCTTTAAAGGTAGAAGTGTTATTAATATATTTGTATTTTGTTAACCAATTAATTGTGATCTGAGATTTATCAATGCATCGTTGGACACGGTAACATGGTTATTTAAACTCACTTACAATACCTTCTAATTAAGAAAAGGCTTTAATTTTGAAAAGAAATTAACACAATAGTTTAAGTTATAGATACAATGGATAAGCGTAGATTCATGAAAAACAAACCATTCGCCCTCCGGGCTCATGGTTTCTTTTTCAAGAATCCACGCTTATCCATTGTATCTATATAACTTCTACTGATTTTGCTTGCAATGGGCAAGGATTTGTATACAAATCCTTGCAATGGGGTAGGACTAAACAAATCTGTTGTCGATTTTTTTTACTCCGACAAAATTAGATAACAGAAAATTACCGTAAAGGGGATTTCCAAGTAGAGGATGGAAATGTTTCCATAAGTCTTGAATTCACAAAGGGTATGAATCAATAGCGGCAACAAGACAAAAAAAGTCGGTATATTAGCGTTTAGTAGCTAGTCTGCTGCATAAGGTGGAAATCGTTTAAGATTATAAAGGATTTTTTTTTACCGAGGCAACTGCTTGCCTCAACGTAAGCTACGCCAATGGATTCTAAGATACTTATATCATCATCACGCTAAAAAGTCATCTGGTGTAATGACTGTATAAGTGTTCAATGAAATAAGATAAAACCTGGCTAATGTTTCTTCAAGGATTTATACTGTATTTAAATTCTTGGTTACACAAGCTTGTTATTGTGAAACGGAACACTGTTGTAGTTTACGCTGTTGGGTACGTGTTAGCAAAGGTACGAGTTTACGTTTACGCCATTTGTTATTACCTCCCCTTTTTAAAGTTTTACAAATAAAGTCATTAAAAGTCTTTTGTTTTGGACTTTGAAAGAGAAAGTGAAACTAAAAGTTAAAGTCGTCAAAAAGCGATCTAATAACTTCCTGAACAAAGAAATATTTCCTGATGTGACCATGCAGTTCCTTATCATTTATCTTGCTTGCTTTACATATGTCAGCAGCAATGTTGTTAACAAAGGTATATATGCAACAAGAAGGGGACATTATGCACATCTTACAAAATGATCTTGTTGCACTCTACAACTGGTCATGGGATATGAAATTTAATGCCAATTAGTGTAAGCGCATCCATTGTGGAAGAAATAATATTGAAAATGTTGATAATATGAATAAAACAGATGTCACTGAAAATGAACAACGAAAGGATCTTGGACATGTTGGAATTATTTTTCAAAAGGACATTAATTTAACAGCATACATTTTTTGTATTTCAAGTGAAATTAATAAATCCAATAATAGTATTATTGGTTTAATTAACCTTTTGGCGAAGCTAGGGCCCTTGTTGACAGACTGTGCTAAAGACATATATATCCCTCATTAAAATATGATAATGTCAAAGAGAGTTTTCCAAACAACCTTCATGACCTTTGAACCTAAAGAATAGTTACAAACTTGAATACTAATATACCATATATTGTAAGATTCCTTAAATTGAAACGAAGAAAGGAATGAAGTAATAATGACAGATATGATGTCAGAAAATGAATTTTGACGACATTTCTCCCCAAAATTCTTAACAGAACTTAATACTGTGTACGCTCGATGTTCATTCTAGAAACTGTAAACAGCAAAAAAGATCAGCTTTACAAGAGAAATCATTGGCTCACCCCTTGTATATACATGTATATTGCACATTTATGACCACATTTGAAATATGTAAATGCCATATGGTACCTGCATTTAAAAAATGATATAAATTCTGTTGGAAAAGTGCAGATGAGAGCAACTTAGTTCATTCTAGATGTAAGAAATTTGTGTTACGAAAAGTATTAAAAGTACTCAAACTTCTTTCTCTTACTTACAGAAGGCGTCATGGTGATATGATACAAACTTTCAAAATTTAAGGATTCAGGGTTCAAAATTAATGCAGGACCGATAGCCAGAGACTAGAAGAATTGCACTCGGTTTAGGCTTAGTTGTTTCATCATAGACCGTGTGTCTAGTCAATTTACGATTATCAATTTCTGGAAATTCTGTTCCACACGGTGTTCTATCTTTATATAAAATTTCCTGGTCTTATCAATGTTTTATATAATATTATCTTTTCTTTTAAATATTAAAGAGCTTATTTAACTATGATCAAGTTCAAGGTTACTTATTAGTTTAATAATGCTCTATTAACAGGTGGAAACCCAGTTGAAATTAAACAAAAGAAATGGAACTCTTTGTTAGAGAAGGGAAAAAAGGCCAAGTTGGTAAATTTGAACTGTTTACATCTGTTTCTATGGGCTCTAAAAGTTTAATGAATGTGCCTAATTTAGGATTTTATGCATCTTATGTATGTGTTTGTACTTGAATTATGGCATGGAGCTTCGAGATATTTGTAAACTTTTAAATTATAGACAAATTTTCACAAAACAGTTGATTGTGGTAGGTGCAAATACATGTGGATCTTTTTTGTGCATAAGCATAAATTCCGCCGAAAAAAATTACAAAGAAAGATAATAGATTGATCTTTTTAAAGCATTGATTTGCATTTCTGCCCCCGGTGACAATTTTTTGGGAAAAAATCCCCAAAATGGGCAATAATTTCATCGAAAAGTGAAAGTCATGTACACCTTTTTTATGTTCAGGGGTGTTTGAGTTGACTATTCTGTCTTGAAAATGCATAAAAGAAAAATATTTGATACATCATCTCACTTCAGATTCTATTATTTTTATATATTTAGGCTTTAGGTTGATATAATAACATTAAAAATTTACAGTACTAAAAAATGAAATATATGGGTCAAGTGAAATACCTTTCTAATGAGTCATAACAACAGAGTAGGTGTGTTCGAATAACAAATTTTTACCAAAAGTACTTAACGACAGTCTTTTTAAGTGGATCTTAAAAATGCATAACTTCAAAAAAACTTCATTTTTTGTGTGTGTTATCTAGGGTATTTAGTCTTCAACCTCTGAAAATTTTTAGTCTGCCCTTCCACGAAATATTTAATTAGAATTTTTAAAAATATTTTTGAACTTTCGAAAATTCCCCCTGACAACTGATCAGACAATAGTTTTAAGTTGACCAAATGCATAAAAGTACATTAAATGATGCTCAATAGTTAGTAGATACATTTGTCTTTTAAAATACAACTGGCATATAAGGAATGTGATGCTATGTGAAAAAATTTATCGGTTTTCAAGAGCTAAATTGACAGCGTGTCATCACTACAATGGCATCCATTTTTACGATTATAAAAATTAGATGGCGTAATGGGGAGATAATTTTGACGAAGTAGAATCCTGACTGTTATGTGCTGTTGAATGAGCCTATGATTATGATGATAATTTTGACATATTAAACTTCAAAGTCAATGCTCTACCAGTCAATGTTTTAATACATCTGTTGAAACTATTTAGAAAACATTGAGTTTGTATTTGATGGTAAAATATAAACAAATAAATGAAATAATAGGTACATGTATGGTAATTGGTGCTGTCCCTTCACCGGAAATCTGTTACATACTTATGCCTGAAATAATTAATCAAATAGTTTCTGGATTTCAACATGCATAAATGTGTAAATTGCATGGGTGATTTAAAATAACAAAAAAGAAAAACAATCAATAAAATATAATTATTTTGACAATTTTCTTTTTATTTATTTTCTTGACCCCAAAAATAGGCTTTTATGAGACATCATTTTAACATTTAAAATATATACTCCGATTGGAGGATTTTGCATGTAATTATGAAAAATTTTCGGGGGGGGGGGGGGGGACATGCTCCCAAACCCCCCTTGCAGGTTCAGGTAGCTTCTAGACCCTCATCGGTGATTTAGGGCTAGGCTTTCTTCGTCAGGGCTAGACTAAATATTATTACTCTAGCCCTGTGGTCTAAACTACATTTTAAACTATTTCTAGCCCTGAGGATTTGAAGAAATATGTTTATTATGTTTTTTTTTTACTGTTTTCAGGACAAATACCCTTGGGCATAATTTTCAAGCATAAATGTAAGATCATTTTGTTACAATTTTCACAACACACTATACATGATTGGGATATTCTACCAGTTGATGTAATTGCTTCAAAAACTATTGAAGCATTTCAAATGAATAGACGGCCATTCTTGGGAGGCAGTTCTGCCTAATCTGTTACTGTTAATATTAACATTAATGTTGTAATATTTTTTCCAAAGTCTAGGACATCATATCTATAACTCCATGTCCTTCAAGATTATATTCCCATGATGCACTAAAAAAACCCACTTAACTTACTTTTCCATATTCATTATTTGTCCAGAGTTTTGAAATATTTGCAACTAGACAAAAAAAAATCACTTTTTGTTTTGGCTTTTCTGCAGAATTATACATACCTTTTATTTCAGGGTACTTTTGGCAAGTGACAGATTTCCATTATGATGCCAACTACAGTACAAATGGAGATCCAAATACAATGTGCCATTCTGACGGAGGAAAAAGTCATAGCAACAGTATCTATGGAAACTATCTCTGTGATTCACCAATGAAACTCATCATTTCAGCTATAAATGCAATGCAGAAAATTCATCCAAATCCAGATTTTATTTTTTGGACTGGGTAGGTTAATTTAAGTTTAAATAAAAGATGTCATAGACATTTACAATATTTTGCATACAATTAAGCTAAAACGCATCCAAAATTATTTTAACAATTCAGAGTTATACATGGCACTATAATGATTCCTTTTTATTTTCACTCAAAATTTAACTTCCAATAATTTTTACATAAAAAAGTAAAATGAAATAGTTATTTTATAGAATTTATATGGTGATTACCTCCCCTTCTTTTGATGTGTTTGAGCTTTTGATTTTGCCATTTGATAAGGGACTTTCTGTTTGGAATTTTCCTTTGAGTTCAGTATTTTTGTTATTTTACTTTTTCCTTATCATTGTCATGATTCTGTGACTTTGTAGGTATTACATTGTTGATTTTTTTTGTCTTGCCTGGGACGAATCTTGCAGAATTTGAGAAAGCGACCATGATGCTAATTTGGCATATTGGCATTAGCTCATTGTATAAAGCTTCATACTTTAGAAGCAAGACCTGGATACTTAATTATCATATATATACAGATGCCTTATGTTCTGAATATGTTGTTTGGCATATGTCTGTTTTCCATTGAACCTAATTTCATAGTTCAAATACTACTGAAAAAAACTGTATACTAGTAGATAAAAGAAAAAAAAAAGAAATAACAGTTAATACCAATAAATATGTATGAAATACAGACTTATATTTCATTTAATATATTGATCTTCTTAAATTTTGAGATATAATTGTTTCCAAAAGTGAAATGTTTTATAAAATTTATTTTTGAAATTATAATTTAATTAAAGTGACAGTGTTCCTCATGTCAATGACAGTGAACTTAATCAGGTTAAAGTATACTACAACATTGGCAATGTGACTGAACAGCTGCTGAAGGTATTCCCAAACACATCTATATACCCAGTTTTAGGCAACCATGATGAGTACCCAAAAGATGCCTTTCCACCTGGTGCTACGTCTTACTACTCAGATATTCTGTCTGTAAGTCAGTGGTCAAAGCTACTTGGAGAGAATGAGTCAACATTATTTAAAACAGGTAAATAGTAGACAGTGAAATAAGAAAAAAGAGGATTTCAAGGGGATAGTAAAACGTTGTATGTGGTAGGAGGATAGACATTGCAAAAATATGGTAGAATTCTTCAATACTTTGAAAAAATGATATGAATATAATGGAAAAGGAAGAGTTTGGTGACACTATCAATTCATGACACAAAATCACTACATGCACATGGAAAAATGAAAAACGAAGGACCAATGCTTTTATTGCTGATCTTTAACTCTATATAGTCTTATCATTTCAGCACAGAAACATCTTGATGTCATAACTGGAATAGTTGATAAAATGGTTATTTTATACTTTATTTTTGTTTAAATTGATTACCTCTACAAAGGTGTTTCACTCACATCAACATCGTTATACATGTACAGGAAACTTGCAAAAATAATCTGTTGAGGAAAGGTTTTTGCTCATCATGATCATAATATGTAAATATAAATGAGAAGTTCTGAAATGAGTTAACTTCAGCAGTTTTCACCTGACATGCAAGAAGTCTGTAGGCCTTAAGCAACTATGCAATACAAACATCAGAGGTATTATTACTGATATTCGACTTACTCTGAATAACTGGAGGATATTACTCAATAGATTTATGATATAAGTAGTTTGTGATACATACTTTGTACATTCAAATTCAAGTTGTCCAAAAAGATGTATTCTCCTTTTTGTTTGAGGGTGTTCTGGTTAAGTTAAAACACCACATTTATTTAAATTTGTGTGATACATTAGAATTGCTGTCCTTATCATATATGAAATATATATATACTTATGATTCTAAAACTCAAATATATCATTTAAATTGCTTTTGTCATTTCTTTACTTACAGGTGGATACTATAGCAGTTTGATAAATTCAAATTTATTAGTCCTTGGACTTAACACCAACTTGTACTATGGCTTTAATCCACTGACTCAAAATAGTACTGATCCTTCTGGTCAGTTAAAATGGTTAGAGAAACAGTTAAAACAAGCTCAGACCAGTCAAAAAAAGGTAAAATTACACATCTGTTAAGTTCTTGAAGTAGAATTCGTGTTATGACCTACTTACATTTTAGGCATTATTATACTCCTGCTGTCTAAAGAGGGTGCTCTTCTGTTCCTTTTTTGTATGTACAACAGCTCCTGAACTGCTTTGCAGAATTTAAGAAATATTCACAGAATCTTACTCAATAATGTACTTTTGCACCTCTTATTTCCATTTCTTCACCTGACTGATTATTGAGGTTTACTTTGGAATGACATGGAGTTTGTCATATCTGGACTCTTTAGTACCCATTTGTGTCTGCTTCTCCCCCTAAATCCCTTATTACAATTTATTTAAATTTCTCACAATCCTAACCATATATTGCTCTTGTATACTTCTCATTTTTTTGTTCAGGATATTCCGATAATTTCCGCAGTTTCTTACAACAAATTATAAATTATGTGCACACTACAGTATACACTTTATCCCCCTTCCCCTAATCCACTAATCATGCTAATCAGAATTTAAGGAAATTTCCACAGAATCTTCCCCATATAATGTTATTGTGCACCTCCTATTATGTGTTTGGTCTCAATTATTTTTAGGGGTTTCCTTTACCAAAAGCATGGACTTTGCAACGGGCAGGGGTATAATTTTGTGAGCTTTGCTTGTAGTCCCTCTATATTATTATTAGGCAGGTTAAAGTTCAAAATTTTGCTGAGATTCATTAGCTCTCTTGAATGTTTGTACATTGTACATGTATATACAATGAAGAAGAGCTCCTAACTTTGTGTACACATTTCAAGAATTGTTTTCAGAATTTTTAGGAAGTAAAAAAGTTTTCAGCAGCCTTCTTGATGGAAGGAACCCAATTTTTTTAAAGGCCTTGTTTGTAGCATATATCAACTAGAAGACTATGAAGTTTTCATAGTTTTGCTAATTTGTAGGAATATCACCTTTCTCTATTATCATTCAAATAGATTCTTCGTAAAGCATATTAAATACTAGAGTCATTACAATTTATATAGCCTTTCATTAATATTACAACCCAGCTATTTGATTTAGTATCATTATATTTAGTATCAAGCAATCATTTTAAATGTCATAAAAAAAGAAAATATGTGAAATTAGCTTATCTTGTTTAGATGATAAAATGAAAACATCCTATTAATGGTATTAGGTGATATTTGTTAAGTAAACAGATCTGTTTTACTATTTTATCTGTTTGATTTAACTGGTTCATGATTTTATTATATGTTTATGTCACGAATATTTACAAAGAAGGTTTTGAAAGAGGAATTTATAATTTTTTGCCTCATTAAATAGACTTAAAAATAATAAAATAGTTTATGATGTTGAAAAATAGCAATTACATTTACTGTTGTTTTGAAGTGCTTTTGTGTCATTTGCATAAGATAATGAAATATAAGTATTCTGAAAATGTATTATGAATCCACAATTAAAATAAAATTGTGCTTTTTTGTTTTAACAATTCAAAAATTAAGTTTAATAATCCATTTTTCAAGTCATTCACACCAAACCATTTAATCTGCTTCTAAATTATCTTGACTGTAGGTCCAAATACTTCCATACGTCTTTTATTTTCATCAGCTTTAGAATATCATTAGAAATAACCAAGGATTTATATATAAATCCTTGAGATAACCCATAAAATTAAAATGTTACATCATACATCTCCTTTTCTTCCTACCAATGTTTGTCAATTTGTGGGTGCAAACTTCATAGGACAGTATGTTGATACCCAAATTATTTATTTTTTCTATTTTATTTAAGTTCGACCAGTTTGTTTCAGTCATTATTGGTTTATTTCAGGTGATTATAATATCTCACATTCCACCAGGTTTGTTTGAGTTGTCATCAGGATTAATGTGGTTCAGTAATAATTTCAATGAGAAATATGTCCACTTAGTATCCCAGTACAGTGGGATTATATCAGCACAGATTTATGGACATGAACATACAGATAGTTTTAGAATCCTTAAAGACAGTAGTGGTAAAGTTACATCTTCTTAAAGCCTTAAGATTTAGATTTGTCTTGTCATTTTTTCACTTTTAGCTTTAAATCACTCTATGTTTAGAAAAGTTGTCGACTAATTAAGCAGAGAATACCAAAGATCAGCCATCAAATGTCACTCGGTTTCATAGAAAATAAAAGACAAAAAAAGAACAACCACTGACACTGCACCTTATTGGGACAGGTAAATTTACATTTGACATAGTTTAAACTTCTTTTTTTTTAGTACTAAACAATTCCCCCTTTTTAGCTCACCTGGGTGTGAAGGGCCCCATGTGAGCTTATGCCATCACTTGGCATCTGTCGTCGTTCGTCGTCTGTCATGGTCGTCGTAAACTATTTCAAGAATCTTCTCCTCTGAAACTACTGGGCCAAATACTTTCAAACTTTAAATGCAGTTTTTGGCTTATATCTCAAAAACTAAAGTATTTAGAGCAAATCTGACTGGGGTAAAAATGTTCTATAGGTCAAGATCTATCAGCCCTGAAATTTTCAGACGTACTGAACAACCCAGTTGTTGTTGGGTTGCTGCCACTAAATTGGTAATTTTAAGGAAATTTTGCAGTTTTTTTATGACCGCATAAATTTAAAATTTTTTTGTCGTATATTGGTATCACGTTGTCGTCGTCAGCATCGTCCGAAGACAGATGGTTTCTGGATGATAACTTTAGTATAAGTAAATAGAAATCAATAAAATTTTAACACAAGGTTTATAACCACTAAAGGAAGGTTGGGATTGATTTTGGGGGTTATGGTCCCAACTGTTTAGGAATTAGGGCCCAAATAAGCATTTTTGTAGTTTCCAGACAATAACTTGTGTTAAAGTATATGAATCTCTCTGAAATTTTCTCCACAAGTTTCCATACTACAAAGGGATGGTTAGGATTGACTTTAGGGGGTTATGGCTCAAACCATTTAGGAATTAGGGGCAAAAAAAGGGGAAAAACAAGGGTTTTTCTGGTTAAAGGACAATTGAGACAATTTAAAAGCAGTGTAAGGGAGGTAATCCAAATCCAAATCAAAATCAATTTAAATAACAATGTTTGATTAGACTGCTTGTAAATTATGTATTAAGAAATGATGATTGTCTGAGATACTGACCATAACTTGAGGGAAAGAATTATTTTTTGGAATAAGGGAAAGGGAGGAGGTGAAAAAAATTGGAGGGGGACAATCTTTCTCATTTCAGATTTCAGAAATTAAAAGAAAATTTCTTCAAATATTTTTTTTTTGGGGTTTAACATTCAACAGCATAGTGTATTGCACAAACCCATATAAACGGGGTAAAAAATTTTTTGGGGGGGGGGGGGGGTCAATTCGCATAGTGTATTGCACAAAAGCAAACAATTGAATATAAATTCTAATCATATAACCAATTTGAAGTTCTTTGACTACAGTTATTCTGTGTCAGAAACCTATTATGTGTCAAAAATTTAATTACAATCCAAATTCAGACCTGTTTCAAGCATGAATGTTGTGTCCATTTTGGCCCCAACTTTTCAGGGTTGGACATCTGCGGTCGTATACAGCTGCGCTCAGCGAAGCAATTTATTGGTTATTATCTTGAATATTATTGAACTGTAAACTGCAAAAATGTTCAGCAAAGTAAGATCTACAAAAAAGTTAATATGACCAAAATTGTCAATTGACCCCTTAAGGAGTTATTGCCCTTTAAAGACAATTTTACACAATTTGTTCATCATGTTTGCTAACATTTAAAAATCTTCTCCTCTGAAACTACTGGGCCCAATACTTCTAAACTTTAACTGAATGTTCCTTAGGGTTTACTGGTTTATAAATTGTATCCAATGTTTTGATCCATTAACAAACATGGCTGCTATGGCTAAAAATAGAACATATCCGTCAAATGCAGTTTTTGGCTTTTATCTCAAAAACTATAGCAGTTCGAGCAAAAGTGACATGGACTTAAAGTGATGAATAAGTCAAGATCTATCTACCATGAACTTTTCAGACCAATTGGACCACCCATTGTAGGGATACTGTCCGAAATAGTTTATTTTTATGAAATTTTACTGTTTTTTTGTTATTATCTTTAATATTATAATAGATAAAGAGAAAGTGTAAATGGCAAAAATGTTCAGCTAAGTAGGATCTACAAATAAGTCAAATGATCAAAATAGTCAATTGACTCCTTAAGGAGTTATTGCCCTTGAAACGTTTATTTTTTACATTTTTTCGTGCAAGTCTATTACTTTTTCAAAAATTTTCTTCTCTGAAACTACTTGGCCAGTTTATAAATTGTATCTGTAGTTTTGATCCATCAACAAACATGGCCATCATGGCTAAAAATAGAGCAAAGAGACAAAAGCAGTTTTTGGCTTATATCTCAAAAACTACAGCAGCTAGAGCAAAAGTGAAATGGAGATAAAGTGATAAATGGGTCATGATCTATCTGTTATGAAATTTTCAGACAAATTCGACAACCCATTGTTGGGTTACTGTTGGAAATAGTTTATTTTTATTAAATTTTACTGTTTAAGTTTAAATTTATTTTCTTTAATATTATAATAGATAGAGAGAAAGTATAAATGGCAGTAAATGTTCATCTAAGTAAGATCTACAAATAAGTCAACATGATCAAAATAGTCAATTGACCCTTTAAAGAGTTATTGCCCTTAAAACGTTTTTTGTGATACATTTTTTGTGAAAGTCTAATTACTTTTTCAAAAATCTTCTTTTCTGAAACTACTTGGCAAAATACTTAAAAACTTTAATTGAATGTCCTTAGGTTATCTAGTTTATAGATTGTATTCGGGGATTTGATCCATTTAAAAACATGGCGGCAGTTTCTAAAAATAGAACATGGGGTCAAATGAACTTTTTGGCTTTCATCTCAAAAACTAAAGCAGTAAGAGCAAAACTGACATAGGTGAAAGTGTGAAACAGGTTTAGATCTACCTGTCAAGTAATCTTTAGACCAATAGGACAACTTATTATTGGGTTACTGTCCAGGAATAGTTAATTTTTAGGAAATTTTACAGTTTTGGGTTATGTATCATCTTTAATATTTTTATAGAAAGAGAGAAAGTGTAAATGACAAAATTGTTCAGCAAAGTAAGATCTACAAATAAGTCAAATGCCTGAAACTGAAATTACAGGTGAGCGATACCAGGCTCTCATGAGCCTCTTGTTCATATATGTATTGTTTCACATAACTTTATAAAAAAAAGTATAGCAAATCTGTGCAACACCTTGAAAATCACCACAATGATGTCAATTATGAAAAATTCTTCCAAATAGTAAGCTGAAGAAGTCATGTATGTCAATGAAACAGCAAACCGACAATATAATAAAACCAAAGCAGAGATCTAATTTAAAAATACCTATTTATTTTCTAGGAACTCCTTCAGGAATGTTGTTTCTTAGTCCAGCAGTAACTCCATGGAAAAGTACTCTACCAGGTGTGGGTGCCAACAACCCATCAATAAGGCTTTATGAATATACAAGAGAAACTGGAGAAATACTAGACTACCACCAGTATTTCCTTAACTTGTCTGCAGTCATTACAACCAATAAAGACAACTGGACAAAGGAATATGATGCCAAGAAAGATTATGGATTAACAAGCTTAAACCCAGTGGATTACATGCAGGCAGCTCAATCATTTAGGAATAATCCACAACTTTTCAAGAAGTACCTCCAGTATAATTCAGTCAGCCAGAATATGAATCCTGACTGCAATGACACATGCAAGAGAGTCCATGTTTGTTCTATAACAGAACTGAGGATAAGTGACTTCAATGATTGTTTAAATAAACCAGAACCATCTTTTCATCCACAACCACATTCCCATCCCCATACTACCCCACAACCTAAAAGACATGTGCCCCGTTATATGGTTATTGTTATTTGCACACTTGCAGGGACTGTCTTTGTATTGGCAGTTATTGTTGCCATTATCTGTATTAAAAAACATACTGTTTTTATTCCTCATCAATATTCAAGATTTTCATCACCAGTTGGCAAAGGTCCAATAAATTGAAAAAACCCACCTTTTTACCTTTTATAGAGTGATTATAAAGTTGTGAATTTATGATTAACCCAATTCATGTATATGTATTGGGCATATTTTAAATACTGCCAAAAGATCAAATGGTGCTCTATTATTTTTTTTATTTTGCAATGTCAAAGATGATGTGATTAAAAATGTGAAGAACTAGTAAAACAAACTTAATTAAGTTTTTTTAGTTTTTATTATGACAGCTCATTCAAGTACATTAGATTGCTGTGTTTATTTGTGATTGTTGAACAACCAACACAAATGTGAGATTAATTATTGGGATTTCAGAAAATGCTATAGAAAAATAAAATGGAAGTTTATATTTTTACGAAGTCTATCCCATCGAATTTTTGCAATACTGTAAATTCAGAAATTATTGCGTGCATTTATTATTGGGATTTTTGAAGGATGGACAAAAATGTGGGATTAATTATTGCGATTTCAGGAAAATCTGCATACAGATTAATGTATCAGATATCAAAATACAAGTTTTTTTTTATTGCAAAACTCACCCAGTTTCATTATTCGCATTAATGAAAACCACGCAATAATATCTGAATTTACAGTAATAATACTAAGTCTTAGAGCTTTTTGGTTTGCTTGTTTTTAACCATTTATTTTGTGTACATTATATTTACAATATTTATTCTATATTTTATGAATTGCTAAAGAAATGTCATGTTAATTGAAGGAAGACATCAAAATTTTAAATTCCTAAAAATCTACTTGAGCCTTTTAAAGAAATTCATTCAATAGGAAAAAAGTATAAAAAATCTCTACTGATAATGGTAAAAAAAATAAATCTTAAAGATATGGAAATTGTCTTGATATACATGTCATACATAAGTATGACTGAATGGTGTCAAAACCAACAATACACTTAACATGTGACAATTATTTCAATGGTGAGGTATTGTAGCTTTGAGCTCGATGAATAGTAAATGGGGAATATCAAATGCTTGTAAGATTTTGCATACAATTTTGACATGACATGTGTAACTTATACTGAAAATGAAAAAAATATAGTTCAGTTTACTGTTTTACCTGATAAAATATGTTTAAGTGAAAATCCTTTAAAAAGATATACATTTGCATAGAATACATTTAAAATATTTGGAAACCACATCAAACTTACTTCAAAAACTCTTTACTAAAAACCTAGAACATAGATTTTTCTAAAGAAAAGTGGTATGTAGTTGCCAGGTAAATATTTGTTTTAATGATGCAGGATAATCAAGTTTAACATGCCGATAGTGTATGCAAAATCATATAGAAATCTGTCACAAGACCTCTTTATTGTAACTTGACCTTATTGTCCTTATATACATTTAAATTGATTTCAATAACAAAAAATATTAAAATGCATTCTTTAAATATAAAAGTTAACAAAATCTGGATTGAATACCATAACTTAGTGTCTGGTTTACTGTGAATGTTGAAAGTCACAACATTCATAAATGGGCAGGCAGTCTTAAAATAATATTTATATTTACATGTTATGACTTATGTGGAAACTTATTTATTGTAAAATATATGTGTCCATTCAAGATTGCAGTGTTAATCATATTTTAGAATTTTATTTTAAATTAAGAAGCTTTGGATATAATTATTGAAAATCACATTTTAACTGCAAAGAAATGTCTTGAAATTCCAGATTTGATTTTTTTAAATCAGTATAACATTTTTTTATATTTATCACAAATTTATATACTCTAGTCTATAACATTATATTATGCACTGTGCAAATGAAGCACTTCTTGCTTATATATATATCTTTATTCTGATAAAGCCAATGCATGACATCAGTACAGAGATAACAACAAAACTATTTACAATATATACAAAACAAGGGAGAGAGGTTAAAAGAAGTCACTAGCCAGGAGGACAAACACAAGTATTAATATTTTATATAAATGAACAAATCTTCTTCAGGACTGGATTCTGTGTACTCAACACAAGTTCAGAGAATTTAACTGTGTTATGTCTTGGTACTAAATGCTAAAATGTTATTGTCACTTGTTTTCATTTTGTATAAATTAAAAAAAAAAACAGCATTCATTTTTTATTTTTACAGGTCTTGGAAAAAATATATATGATATTAAAATACATTTTGAATCTGAAAGTAAAACTTTAAACACAAAAAACTTCGGCATGAATTGTCTAGTTAGATGAAAACAGTATCATTCCAAATGAAATCAATTATACCTCATTTAGCTGAAATTTGCATTATAAATAAAAATGCTTGATTTCAAAATAGATAACTTGTAAAATATTTATCAAACAATAATTATTATGCATGCATATCATAGGATGATAATTTATTGTAACATATTTCTATCATTTATTCATATTTACAATAAATATAATGTCAATTACTTTTTCATCTTAAAAGAATATGTATTTTTTATAACATAACTGTTTACACAAAGTATATGAACAATGTATAATATAGTGGTGATTTATTAGGTGGGTGGAGCTATTAATTATATCATCATCGGTTGTTTTTATACAAATAGGTTGCAGAGGCAGATATTTTTTTTGGGGGGCAGGCCTCTTTATGGAGCTTCATATATGATAAATGCATAGACTTTTTACAAGAAATTTAGGATCACTTCAAACATTTGCTTGCCAGGCCCCCCTTTTCAAAATCCTGGATCTCCACCTGGTTTTTTTTTTTTACAAATTGAAAGCATATGGTATATAAATGTCACATAGTTGAGAGGGTGAAAGAGCAGATTATTACCCAGAGAAAACATTGTCAACCAAGTCGAAGCCATAGTTGAAAATGTTTTTTTAAGGGTAACAATCTGCTCTATCACCCTCTCCGCTATTTGTTATCTAATTTATTATACTGAATGTTCTGTTATTATTATCTTTAAAATTTTAGATCTAAAGAAATAAACTATGATGTCATGTACATAACAACCATCCATATTTAATCAAGCTCACAACACACAGCTCACAAGTGTCTCTGTTAAGGGTATTAATGTAAAAGCAAAAACTATTTCAATAGTGGCAAGGGGCTTCGTTAGATGTATGCATAAATGTTTTTATAGATCAGCAGTATTTCTCTAATCATCTGTTATTTGACAGTAGTGTGAAGCTCAAGAAGGATTATTTTTTATCGTGTAAAAACATTTTCTTTCCAAATCATCACTGAGAGGTTTTGAAGAGTAAAGAAAATATTTAATTTCATTTGAAAAGTTCTTGTGATGAAAAAATGTATTGATTACCTGTAATTGTATCCTTTTTATACTTCCGTTTACGGGATGTATTATGGTATACCGTTGTCCGTCGTCCATTGTCAACATGTCGGACATTAACTCAAAAATGCTTTAACCAATTTGCATAAAACTTTGGTGAATTGTCTATATCTATTTACGTGAGCTCCCTTTCGTTTTTTATAAATTTCAGATTTTACTTTTCTGAGTTGTGAGGTTTTATTCATTAAAAAAGGGGGATTTTCCAGTTTTCGGACAATAACTCCAAAATGCTTTCACCAATTTGCAAGAAATTTTGGTGAATTGTTTATATCTATTGACATGAGCTCCTTTTCCATTTTCATAAACTTTAGAAATTACATTTCTGAGTTATGGGGTTTTATTCATTAAAAAAAAGGGCCAGTTTACAGTTTTCGGACAATAACTCCAAAATGCATTTAGCAGTTCTCATGAAACTTTGGTGAATTGTTTATATCTATTGATGTAAGCTCCCTTTCGAATTTTATAAATTTCAGATTTTACGTTTCCGAGTTATGGTGTTTTATTCATAAAAAAAGGGGGGATTTTCCAGTTTTCGGACAATACCTCAAAAATGCTTTCAGCAGTTCTCATGAAACTTTGGTGAATTATTTAAATCTATTGACAAAAGCTCCCTTTTGATTTTCATAAATTTCTGATATGACGTTGAGAAGTGATTGAACTTTATTCTTTGAAAATGCTACGGGCATATCATGCGCTCATGGTGCAGCTGTTTATTATAATTTGAATAATGCATATATATACATCTGGTTAAATTTTTTTCTTCTCAAACATAGCTGTTGACTAATTTTAACACTTTATATAACAATTGTCATTAATATGATACTGGTTTAGAAATGTTAGCTACTACTTCACAAACAAGGAGAGTATACTTAAAACTAATACATTACAGAATCATCCTCCAGGAGGAACTTGAATATGAAATATTAATCAATTTTTTAAGTTTTATTAATTTACCAAAGTTTTTTGAAAATTTTTGTATTCTGGTGATAATATAAGAAATAGACTGTTTGAGGTGCATTTTACCTTGTAAATGTAAAAATGGCCCACCGTTTTTTGTTAAATACTGTAATGTCTATATTATGTATTGTAATGATTATTTGTGATGAGATTATCATATTTATTTAATAAAATTAAATCATTAGATTTATCAAAGCACTTTTTAGCAACAATTGATTCAGTTAGCATAAAGTTCAGGTGTTGCCAAAAATCAAATGTTAACAGACTATAGATCAGATGGTTACTTCCAGTGTAAATTTCTCTTAGTTTTAGGAATGCTATCATCACAGTTGACCGTTTTGGAATATCTGTATCACAGATAACTATGGATATGTTCCACTTGTGGTAGCTACATTCAAATGGAACTACCAGTATAGAAAAGCTATTAAAAACTGTTAACAATATGACTTCAGGGTTTGGAATCCCTCTGAAATGAAGAGCATATAAATTGATACCAAATTGCTACACAATAGTGAAATGTCCCCATCATCTGTAAATGTTAAATTAAATTGTGTGTATAGTGCAGTGTTGTACAAAACATATTGAGAGGAGTTGCTTCCACAAGGGTCATTGTCATGGACAGATGGACATACATACACAACCGGAGACAAGGTGATCACTAAGGCCTTCCGCCAATTAATCTGGGGGTCTTAATATTTATAGTTTTACTGTGGAATCAACACTAGATTGGTGTGATGTCTAAAGTTGAATAGTGATGTTAGTGTAATGGAGACACAGGTGTATTCAAGCTAAGGCAATACACGTATCTAAAATGTCTTATTTTAGATGGCTTGCAAAATACACGTTTAAAGTATGGTAATGTCAGGGGGAGGGTGGGACAGGCCAGCAGGGAGAAGTAGATATCCATTTTGTACAAACAACTTCTTTTACAGTTTTCAACCCAGATCTATGAAACTTCACAGAAAGATTGCACACATATTGAAGTTGTGCGACTGCTTTTTTAGAAGTGTTTGAGGAAATTTGTACCTTTTTCCAGACTTGGAAACGTAGTAATTTTTTTCAGCAAATTTTCAAGACTCTGCAAATTTTGTGTTTGTGTAATAAACTTTTCCTTCAGTTTTCAACCCATATCCTTGAGACTCCACAGCGAAATTTAAAGCCTTTTGCAGTCATTCTATTATGGAGTTGTTAAAAGATTAATCACATGTTTCACATTTCCTATAATCAATTGCTCAGATCATTTCTTCAATGCAGCATGCCCATTTGAGTCTGGTCCATTTTTATAATTGTCGAAATCACATAAATGTCCTGCTAATATGCGACAACATCTAATGGTAAAATACTTTCATGCAAAATCTAAGGTCAATATCCATATTTTTAAAGTTTTGGCGTGGGCAAGGTTGGTTGACCGTTATGGAGTAACCGTTTCACAGATGATATCGGATATGTTCCTTATGTCGTAATAACAATCCACTTCCTTTTTCACCACGAATATGACCTACCGAATTAGACTATTTACCGGATTTGTAATAACATGAGCAACACGACGGGTGCCACATGTGGAGCAAGATCTGCTTACCATTCCGGAGCACCTGAGATCACCCCCAGTTTTTGGTGGGGTGCGTGTTGCTTAGTCTTTAGTTTTCTATGTTGTGCCTTGTGTACTAGTACTTGTCTGTTTGTCTTTTTGTTTTTTGGCCATGGCGTTGTCAGTTTATTTTCGATCTATGAGTTTGACTGTCCCTCTGGTATCTTTCGCTCCTCTTTTGTATGAGAAGAAAAAAGATGAAAAGGGTTTCTGAACAAAATATCTCCCTCCATCAATGGGGACACACAATGAAAGAAAGACTTCAAATTAATACAGACCATATTTTGTGAGGCAAGAATTCATCCTGAATTTCAAATATAATGAAAACGTGCCTGTGTAAGCATCCTGCCGTTGACGGATTTATGTTAAAACACCCAGGAAAACTTTCAAAGACTAAAATGGCCAGGGTTGCACTAAATGTTTCTAGCACAATTGAGAATGGTCTATGATAACCATTCAAATATATATATAAACACAAAATATAATAAAATGGGACACAAAACTTTCAAACAAGCACATAAAGGGAGATAAACAACTTCAAAGGACATGCCATTTTTTTTGTGAAGTTTCAAGGATGAAAAAATGTCAATGTTCCCATGTCTGGAAGAATGAGAAACAAACCTTTAAACAATTCCATTCATAAAAGCGGGTGCACAACTTCAATATGTGATAAATTTACTGTCACGTTGCAAGATCCGGGTTGAAATTTATAAACAGTTGATTACACAAATTTTGAAATATTAAGAGTGTATGTTTTGCTGAAAAATCTTACAGCACCTGAGATCACCCCCAGTTTTTGGTGGGGTTCGTATTGCCTAGTCTTTAGTTTTCTATGTTGTGTCATCTGTACTATTATTTGTCTGTTTGTCTTTTTATTTTTGGCCATGGCGTTGTCAGTTTGTTTTCGATCTATGAGTTTGACTGTCCCTCTGGTATCTTTCGTCTCACTTTTACAAGTTCTCAGGATAGGTCAAACATCTTTAAAAAAAATCCATAATAGTTGGTGCTACTGCACAACTTCCATATGTGTATAATCTTCTGTGAAATAACAGGGATCTTGAATGAAAACTGTAGGAGGTTCGAGTTGATTACACACGTAGTTTTGCTGATAAATTCCTAACAATTTCATAATATAGGATGCAAAACTTCAATACATGTGCAATCGTTCTGTGGCATTTCCAGGATGTGTGTTGAAACTGTAGGAGGAGGTTCTTACACTCAATAAGTAAAGAGTTGCTATAATGAAAGCATAACTAAGTTATGAGTTCACAGAATGCATTTCTAGCTAGCAAGGCAACTTCTGTCATTTACGCTTAACTTTGTGTGGGTTGTATTTAAATAATCCTGTATATTCCTTAGTTTTCAATTGAAACTATGTTAATTGGTAGTGGCCATCCTGGTTTTAAAATTAAAAACATCCATTTGAATGAGTTGTGACCTTAATTTTTGTCCAGCCTGCGACTTTTGTCGCAAAAGCGAGACATAGCGATCCTACATTCCGTCGGCGGCGTCGTCGTCATCATCGTCAGCGGCGTCCACAAATATGCACTCTGTGGTTAAAGTTTTTTAAATTTTAATAACTTTCTTCAACTATCCTGGATTTCTACCAAACTTGGACAGAAGCTTGTTTATGATCATAAGATAATATCCAGAAGTAAAGTTTGTAAAAAAAATCCTGTTTATCCGTATTTTACTTATAAATGGACTTAGTTTTTTTACATTAATAACTTTCTTAAACTATCCTGGATTTGTACCAAACTTGGACAGAATAAAATTGAAAATGGGGAATTTGTCAAAGAGACAACAACCCGACCAAAGAGCAGACAACAGTCGAAGATCACGAATGGGTCTTCAACGCAGCGAGAAAATCCCGCACCCGGAGGTGGTCCTCAGCTGGCCCCTAAATAAAATTGTGTACTAGTTCAGTGAAAATGGACGTCACACTAAACTCCAAAACATATAAATGAACTAAAATAAAAAACATACAAGACTAACAAAGACCAGAGGCTCCTGACTTGGGACAGGCGCAAAAATGCGGCGGAGTTAAACATGTTTTGTGGGATCTCAACCCCCCCCTCCTTATACCTCTAGCCAATGTAGAATAAAGAAACACATAGCAATACGCACAGTAAAACTCAGTTTAAAAGAAGTCTGAGTCCGATGTCAGAATAGGTAACAAAAGAAACTAAGCAAAATGACAATGATACATAAATGAATAAAGGACTACTAGCAGTTACTGACATGCCAGCTCCAGACCTCAATTAAACTGATTGAAAGATTATGTCTTCATCATATGGAGCTTGTTTATGATCAAAAGCTAGTATCTAGAAGGAGATTTTGTAAAAATTTATTTCCTGTTTTTCCATGTATTACTTATAAATGGACTTAGTTTTTCTTCCAGTTAACATTACATACATTCTGCAGTTAAAGTTTTTAAAACATTTTTTAGATTCATAAACCATCCTGGATTTTTACCAAACTTGGAAAGAAGCTTCTTACAATCAAAAGATAGTATCTATAGAGGAAAATTTTTAATATTTTTTTCCCCATTTTTGTTGAGCCTGCGATATTGTCTTCCAGACAATCTATAGATGTATTCATTTTTTACAAGCATAACTTTTTTCATACATTTCAAACGTTTTATTTCATTAACTGTAAATCTATTATTTGCATTCCCCTATCACACTGAAAACAGACAACAGCAAAAGTAGGCGAGACACTGGGTTCCGCGGAACCCTTACGAATTTTTAGTATAAGAAAACTTTTTAGTCAGGTAAATTTTGTTTTAGAGATTTAGACTAGAGTCTGCTGGCGATTTATCTTTAATGATGGAAAATAGGTATTGACTTTGATCTAATGACAAATAAATCTGTAAGGGTCTTCATTTTTTCCATTGGTATTCTCGGGCTACGTTTGGTGAATGTTGGACATATTATTTCAAAAGATATAAACCAGAATAAAAAAAATGACCCGAATTTCAGTTTGAGGTACTGTGTTGATTATCGTTCACTAAACAAATTGACTATAAAAGACGCTTTTCCCATTCCAAACATTGAATCTTGCTCAGATTCACGTGGTGGAAATGTATATTAGTCATCATTGGACATGACCGTATGATAATGGCAGCTATAAAATGACGAAAGGGAGACACAAGACAGCTTTCATTAAAAAGTACGACCAGGCTGAAAAAAATAGAATTCGCTTTTGGTCTGCGTAAAATTCCTGCTACATTAAGTAGTGTGATACATCTTGTTTTGCAATTACTAACATGGACGGAGTGCCTGGCCTATCTTGATGACGTTTTAGTACTAGGTGGGGGAGTTTTAACAACGATTTGGAAAACTTAAAGCATGTATCAGACAGATTTTGGAAGTACAACTTGAAACTGAAGCCAGAAGAGCGTAGTCTTTTTCAGCTAGAAGTTAAATTCCGTGAAAAGATGTTTAGTACCGAAAGGGTTAAAGTAAATTCTGAAATCCAAAGAGTACGAAACACGTAGAGTCCTTCCATGTTTCACGAATTACACACGGGATCACATACCGACATAGCATTACCTCTCCATCAGATTGCAAGACTGAAAGAACTTTGTATTTGGCAATAACAACAC